TGAGCGGATTTTATGAGACCTTTACACACCACACCAAAGGATATGAGATACCACAATTGTTTAGCAGACAATTGGTCAAAGGATCGACCGCATTTATCTCTCTGACGAGTTGTAGTGTGGTACTAAGTATGGCAAGGCTGACGGTGACGGCGAAATGTCTGGGAATGCACCAAGTCCACGATCCAACAGGAAATTACCATGTATACTATGAACTCCAAACAAGATGCGTTCCTTTAAGTCTTTCTGATAATATGAACAAGTTGCGAAAAAAACTTAAAACAACTACTATACAATAAAACGAGACCGCGACCATACAAAAGGCCAGACCATCTTGATCCTTATACCTTCGATTAAAATAATGTCTTCACTATTATTATATGCGTTTAAGTGTAGAGTAAGTTAATCATCAATGGGCTCTACCTTCATATGACTAGAAAGATACGTGAACAGGTTGCTAATTATGTCGCATAAATTAAGTATATTTAACTACAAAACGACTTATTTGCCTAGTGAATAAAGAAAAGCGGGATAAGAAAATTGAATCCGCTTATGTGCGTGAGAGATGCAATAGATTAATACAAAAACTCAAGGTTTGTGAAAGAATTGATGGGAATCTGTGATGGAAAAAACAACGTCCGGCAAAAATAAGAACAAATATACGAAGATAAAAACATTTTGACTTCCAAATTATGTATCAATATTAGCACATTTGTAAGCGGCTACAGTTGAAAAAAATTCTCTTAATCTAACCCTATAAGCACATAAATATTTTGCTAAACAACTGACCCTACAGTAGCAGCTAGACAACACGCAGATGTTGGGAATCCAGACAACTACTATGGCAGACAACTTCGGAGTCGGTGCGTTTTACATAGTCTCGCTGAACACAAGACCAAGTTGCGACAACGAGGTCAACCCACTTCTAACACGTTTTTGCCGGAATCGAAGAAGATTTTCTTGGAAACAGGATCAGCAAGAATGTTATAGTAAGGCCAATCGACAGCTGGTCAAGAGTAATCCACCGCCATCTTATGATGGGACCAATCTTCGAATCTCCTGACCAAACACTTTTACTCGAAATGGAAGTAAGCTCAACAGATACAGGATGATTCATAAGCTGGAAAGGTTTCAGATAATCAGCAGGCCGTTCAAACATTTATCATAATTCTCTCAATTTCATCTACTTAGATACACACATTTTTGAGTATCTATGATGGAGAATCATTGATGCAATGCTAATTTCTTACGAGGAAGTTCTTTCCATTGCAATTATACATTATTTTGAGAAAATCCAGGCCTGTTTTTTTGGGGCAAAAAAACAATTATTTATTAGCTTGTGAAATATAGAGGCCGAATAATACAAAACCAATAATATATAGTAAAGAATGCTTAATGCACTTTCACAAGGAATGAAAGTCTCCCTAATAATACGTAGGTGCCTTGAGGATTACAGAGCACAGATCGAATAATAATAATGTGGTGAATCCTGATATTTTCGATCAGATGATTAATCTAACAAGTATTATAGTTACTATAACTTTAAGCTAAATGAATAAATTAGAATGGAAGGATGAGCGCACATTTCATGCACTCTAAAATCATAGAGAAATGATCAAAATTAGTCTTAGAATTAATGGCAATAAACAGCCGAAATGTGGCATGATATAATTAAGTCCTATCTTTTGAAATCATACAAGGAGTTCATTAACTAATCAAGGATCTAAAAACATTTTCTAATTAGTGGTAAAATTGATTAATAAAAAGTAAACGTATCCATATAACGTATAATAGTGAGCATGAAATACATATTAGACTGAGGATTTTTGATAAAAAGGATTATCTAAAGAGATATTTTATTTTTGAATTTATGTAATCCTAGATAATTGGTTATACGACGTAAGAGAAACTTGTTTTTGGGGTGATTTGAACAGTGGTTGCCAAGTAAAAGAATGAATTAAAAAACAGGAGTACCCTGTCCTACGACATCGGAAAAGCGACAATCAGCTAGTGATGGGGCGGAGGCTGAAGGGGGAGGAGGACCCATGAAGAGGCCAAACTCGTTATTAGACATCGTATCATTCGGTCCACCTAGAGTCGCCTGTCCGGGGGTCCCTGTGCCAGTGCATCCATCTAAAGAATTTGTGGATCCTGGACCGTTTCCATGTGCCGAATTATTAGTACCAGACATAGCAGCTGCAGCCATTGCTAGCGCAGCCGCATATGCAGCCTGTTGCTGGTGATGCTGTTGAGAATGCTGTTGTGCATAATTATGGTGTGACAAGGGTTGATCTTGTTGAGAGTAGGGCACAGGTGGAGCAGATTGGTGCTGAGTATAGAATTGATTCAGAGTCGAATAGGCCCCATGTTGTTGGTGATGATGATGGGCAGACGGCTGATATTGTTGAGAATGATGGTGACCAGCATTAGTTCGAAGAGTCAAATCACCACAGAGTGGTTCGCCGGAGCCCTGTCCAGCATGAGAGGTATTAGGTCCACCGGGATAGAGGGTGGGTGTGCCATGCGAATTAGTCGATAATTGGGCCAAGCGATGGTGATGATTCTGATGCGTAAGTGGTTGAGGGGGATGCGAACCCATCTGAAGGTTATCCAATAAAGGATGAACATCCAATCCGTTTGATCCACTAGATGAATGGCTAACAGGTTGCTGTGGGTAACCCGATGAGTAGGTTTGAGCCATTGATAGCCCAGGTTGGCCTGGATAAGCTCCTAAAAGTAAGAATAATAAAGTGCAGAATATATTAGAGAAATATGTTCCTAAGAGAGCTAGTTCAACAATAATATGGATAATTATTGATTGGAAAATGTATATTTGGAATAAATTTGAGTTCGTTTATAAATTGATGACCTTAGTGTGGTGATAAGGGTAAAAGGTTATACATAAATTGAGATTGATCAAGATAGAATACAGGCCAAATAATCTTACAGAAATAGTTGATCATGGTGATTTGTTGATTTAAATATTCAATTAAATTCGAACAAAGGTATTTGGAAATTTGTCATCTTTTATACAAATATACTCTCAGAAAAGAGTAAAAAAAAGCCATAGCTTAAGGTAGAGTAAGCATGATGAAATCCAGTAGGGAATTGTAACATATAGGTCAAGGAATACAGAAATTTAATGAAATTGAGCAATGATAAAAAATATAAGGCATAGTGAGTATCTCCCACATGACCAGGCTTTGGCTTATAAGCCAGTTACACAAAGGCATATAGAGAAACCAAATCAAGAAGTCACTTATATGAGATATATTCACCCTATTTAGTGTAAGGTGATGAAGGACTAGTAGTAGAATTTTTCCACAATGATGAGTAGAGTTGACGTTTCCATTGAGCTTCACAAACTTGCTTTCTCAAAAGTAGTTCTCATCCAGGCTGGTCAGTATCGACTTCGCCTAGGTCTTATCAACACCTCCAGCGGAAGTCGAACCGTCAACCACTCAGCCATTTTGCCGAGTGCCCTTGGGTCACAGGGCATATGTGAATTTCAAGGCCAGATTTTTTCCATATCACATCTCATATAACTTATTAACTGGTAGTCTCGTAACTCTGCTTATATACGAAAAATAAGTAATGTATTCGATTATAATAGCAAAAATACGCTTGCTTCATCGACAATCCCAACAAAGAATGTGATATGGAAAAAACCTGGCCTGCCTCGTAATTCACATCTGCTCTGTGACCCAAGGGCACTCGTGGCGACGTGACTGAGTGCTTAACGTGTCGAGCTTACAAGTTGAACTGTCATGGTTCGACTCCCGTTTGGGGTGTTGTCGAAACTGCTGTCCATTCCAGCCGGGATAAGGACAACTTTTGGATGAATATATACATATAACAAATTTATTAGTAGCCTCGAAACTCTGCTTATATACGAAAAATAAGAAGCCACTTTAAAATATAGAATTCGTTGTCTGAAAAATTAAGTCAAGCAGGAAATTATGAGATAAGGGAATAAAGAATTAGAGTAATATTAAAAACCCGAGTAAGCTTAGTGAACGTAGACAGTGCTTCAAGGTTAATGATGCTAGCAACTCATTCAGTGAACCTCATGGAGAAATGGCTAAGAAGAGCTGAGGAAATTTATATTAAAAATAATATAGGAAACAGTCAAAAATGGTCACCTACAGCATATCATGCAAATTTGAGACTTATAGTCTAAGTAGCACATGAAAGTTTAAACAATAGTTGGTTCAATACAATATGATATGTCTGCTTCTCATTTCAAAGTTATGCTTAATTTATCAAAATTAGTGGTTGGAAAATCAATTCGGATTTCACGAAGTGTGTCTTACAGACCTGACTGAGAAGTCAAACATAAGCTTGCGTTAATTCAGAGATCGACAAGCTATACTGTTTCAGAATATTCAACATAACAGTAATGAGAATATATATTTCTATTAACAGCCCTCACATGTAGTACAATTGCAATTAAATTGAATGGCAAAATCCTCGTGAAAACCGCTCTGCGACAAGGGCGAATCCTGGTACCTTTAGCTCGGAGAATTCGTGTCTTCGCTCCATTCTTTTACTCGGATAAAAAATGATTTGGTATCCAACGAATTATTTGGTATAATAGCCGGAGGCGATAATGTAAGATAAAATAGGACCTGAACATTAAAAGCTTAAATATGCCTTCAAAAAACTTCAGAATCAAAATAGTTTGGAAAGCGACGACTACACATAACTAACATCAGAAAATCATTGCATATTTTGCAGGTATAATTTCAAGATTGTGTAACAAAGGGATGTATGTCATAGCGTAGCCCGAGGTGCAAGGAAGTTCTCGATTCAACCTTCGGTCCTTATCAAAAACTCAATCTTAAAATTGTATTCAAAAAATCGCCTTAAATTCCATCAATTCATTTAGTCCCCTCCTGAACCTGATACTTGAGTCCAGTCTGGCAGAATCTTGGTGATTGATTAACTATTTCAAGCTACTTCCAGTATCGTTCTTGTCTCCTGACCGCTCCTTCCAAATAAAGTTCATTTGACAAAATGCAACTTTCCCATCTATTTTAGAGATATTGACAAAATATCCTGCCTTACTCACCCGGGTAGCTAGTCAGCCCACCCCCAATGTCTTTGTAGCTATGACCTACAATTATATGAGTTTGTTAGTCACCGTTTTTATAAGACCAGTTTGGCCGACTAAATATTATAAAATTAAAGTTAGGAGACAGATGAGAAAACGATTATAAGCCAAACGGAGTAGATGAAAATGGTCTCATATTTAATTGGTGTTGCATGAAAGATGGAAGATCAGCACGAATTCATCGAGGTAAAAGAAAAGTGAGCCTATGTCTTCTAGTTAGAAATAGAGTGTTAATTACAAAGAAAAACTTCTTAAGATGTGAAGACCAAGATGTTGTGGCCTCGAGTATGGTCGCAGTCTCCTTTCGACTTATAGAAGTGG